AAACCAAACAAACAGAGAGAGAGAGAGAGAGAGAGAGAGAGAAAGGAAGAACAGTAAAAAAGAATGGAGATAAAAAGTTAAGTCCAAGGGACTCAACACCACCCACGGCTGCCCGGGACAGGAGACATCAGTTCTGTGGTATATCTAGGATTTCACAAAACGAGGGTTTGAAGGGCTCTATCACTTGTTTGTCAGGGAGAGAGAGAAGAAAAGAAAAAGGGTGGAGTGTGAAAAACAGGAGATTTGGTGGAGCAGGACAGGAGGAGGAAGAAAAGAAAGGGAACATAGGGTAGGACTCAGGCTGGAAAAAAGGGTGAGATTTCCCTTGCAAGGGGACTGAAGCTTTAATTAGAAATAAGGGCAACATCAAAATCAGTAGTTTGTTCCTGTTTCTTCTTTTGTTCTTTTTTCTATACCATTCTGCCATTTAGTTTAAGTTCTATATTAGACCATACTGAAACACAAATATTTATGAAATCATTGATAACGTATCCTGGGATGGCAAGGAAAGAGGGGTGCACGCATTTATGTGAAATTTCAAAGGTTAATATCACCTTTTACAAGCATTGGAAAAATGTTCTCTTGGGAATAATAATTGAAAACTAACTAGCTAACTTGTTATTAAGTCTCTGAACCTCTCATTAATTATTTCTTTTTCTAAGGTGATGTGGGAGATTATCTATATCTATTGATCAATCGATCAATTGATCAATCAATCGATCGATCTCACTATGTGGGTAAGATTTCTGACATTAATGATAATGTTATGTTTTGTAAAATGATGCTCAAGGTACTATGCAAAATATATGAATAGCGGAAAATGCAAATTTATAAGGTCAAATGCCAACTTATTCTGTTTCAGGCTTTGCAACCAATGTAGATTTCATGACTACAGAGCTGTAAATGTACTAAAATAGTTTCAAGAGAAAACATCCAAATTGTAATAAAAATCATTGCTAGGGTTTGGATGTACTTTGTGTCAAAACATTTTAATTAAATTTTGTGATATTATACAACTTTGAATAGGTCTTTTTGTGGTAAGGTCAAATCTATTTCTATAACATTAAATTTTAAGAAATAAGTAGATTTTAATTCATAATTTTGATTTACTAATAAATTATTTTAAGGAAGCCACAAGAAAAAAACTCACAAACTATTGTTTTTTTTTAAAAGAAACATTTATAAGTTGCAAAGTGAGTTGCTGTGTAATATATTTAGCTTCAAATTATATTAAGAAGATTATTTCTCTGTCTTCTTTTTCAAGTTAACCTAAAATTGAGTTAAATATCATTTAAAGACATTAGGTATTGAGACTTTTCAATGCTTTTAAAAGGAAAAAGTAAAGTCTGCTAAGGTGACTATGACATGTTTAAGTAAATATTTTCCCCAAAGGTTCATTGTATAATTTAACTTGAGAAGATATGGGTAAACATATAGACCAGTTTTATGGAGTAATTTATGATTTCCCATTTCCTCTGATTTTGGAAAGCACTTTAAAGTATACAATTTCTGCTGAGATTTCTCACAACACCACTTTTTCTGAAAGCTTCATGGCTTAGATAACCAAAAATACTGATAAATCAATTCATCAATGGACTCAGAAATCTTAGGGAAAAATAGACAACTCACTGCTTCATTTCCGTTCTGCCATTTGTTCCATTGTCCTCAAGTGACTTCACAACAGAGTTTACAGATCAAAAGACTTTTTCTAGGAATACTCACAAACTTCTACTGGAATATGCACAGGCTTTCAGAAAAGTCAACATTTACTTAGTTTAAAGAGCTTTAAATCTGAACTAGTACAGCGATCAGGAGGTTTATCTAACCCTGAGAAACAGCTCAAGTAACTGATCTATACAGGTATTCATCTTTCTGCCCCAAAGAGCTCTGCTGGCAGCAGTCAAAACCAAAGTGGGAACTTAATAAAAATGAAAATTGTGGTAGCAAAATACACTTACAAGGTTAATTTGACATATTGCAAAAATTTGGGAGGTTATAGTGGTTTCTATATAACCACAGTACTTATTTAGAAAAACCCCAGAGAAACAGCTGCATTTTGATATGTAACCTGTCTTGCTTATACACCCAGATTTTCAGGGTGTGTAAGTCTTGAGATACTAGAATTTGAACATTGGGGGAAATTGTATGCATCTCTTATTGAAAAATAACAAGATAATAAAACCTGTAGTTTACACTTAAATAGTAGGCAAAGGATGAGGAAAAAGTAAGATCGGTGCTGCTTATTTATTAAGAAAATGGTCCTCATACTACTGGATTCTCTGATTACCTGTGAATATCTCCATTTCTGGCATTTGGTAGCAACTGGCCGAGGCAGACCTGGCAAAACGGTTTCCAGCTGCTGGAAGATTAACTCCTGTACATTCTCGATGCTGTGTTCCAAGTATGTAACTCCAAATGGGACAGTGGTGTGAATCACAAGGGAAGGCCCGATTTCTGATGATGCTTCTGTAAGAGAAACATAAAGACACATCTTAAAGTGGATAACATGGGAGGGTCTCTCAGCATTTCAATCTAGGTTTAAGACTCGATCACAATAACCAGACAATAAATAGAGGGAAAACAGATTCTAATCTCCGAAACATAAAACTAAGCTTTTTCTGAAATTCAAAATCAAGCTTGTCTGAAGAGGAAGAAGAATTCATGATGTAGTTTAGAGAACAAATGTTTAGGTCTTGCTGAAGAGCCAGAAGGAACGATAAGAAGAGCACGTAATACATATCGCCTTGGATATAATTAAATTTATTGGTATGTTCATCTTCTCATATTCACTAAATGATAAACTCTTGAGGGCAGGAGCCATTTCTTATACTTAGCCTATATCCTCCTTAAATTCTAAGGACAAAGTAGATGTTCAAGAAATACTTATTCTTTGTTGTTGTTGTTAAATAGATTACAAAATATTTTGTCAAAAATACTCAATGCCAGCATAAAATATCTTTACCACTTTGAAAAAAAATCAAGCTTCTCTCTAAAAACAGCCTCGCCTCATAACATTTTCCTTTATCTTTTAAACAGCATTAAAAATAAGTCTGCCTCATTTATAACACGGAGCTACTTTCCATCTTTACCATTATATTTCACAATTACAAATAATGAGTGTCTGCTTCGTATCTTTCATTCTTTAGTAGACTATAGGGAAGTTGAATAAAGTTTGAATTTGAAAGCAAAGTGACTGAGGCATTAGGATACATACTCTTGGAAGGAATGTTAACAAGAGTTTGACTTATTTGTTTAAATCCTGCAGAGGAGAAAGTTGGGAAGGGGGAACAATAATAGATATGAATATAAATATGCATGAAGTAATATAAAAGTTGATGCTCTCTTCTGTTGAGAGAAGAGAATATTAAAGTCCGAAAGGTACTGACAAGGGTTGGCAAGTCTGATTCTGAAAATTCTTTAATTTGGGATTCTAATGACAATGATCTACTTGAAGTAGGTATGTACAGGTTTACACAGAATAAAAGGATTTAACATAAGCCACTTACTTGCTATGTGCCCACTTAACCTCTTTATGTTTCAGGGTTTTTTTTTTTCCTTTTGTATTGTTTTACATAAATTCAGAAAGTTAGTACCAACCACATAGATCTGTGGTGTGAATTAGATAACATAAAGCACGTGAAGCACTCAACAGTTTCTGGCACAGAGTAGGTGCTTCATAAATGTAAGCTATGAGAATAGAAGCAATAAATCAGAAAAAGTTCCCATGTTGTTGCCCAAATGATAGGTGAGAGTTATTTTTTGTAAAAGTACTTCATTTTTCCATTGCTTTCTGCTCAGAGAATCCTGGATTATGAATTTTATAGGAAAACACAAGGGAAGTTCATCCCAAAAATGCTGTAAGCATTTTAAAATGAAGTGAGAGCTTCCAAACATTTTTATATGAGGTGAAAGATTTGACTTCAGAATATGTGCAGTAAATGCAATGGTGAGGAGACTGTCCACTGTTTTCACCTCACAGTAGCTGGAACAACTTCTAAGAGGAAATAAAGAGACCATCTTTTTGAACATTCGATGTTTAACCTATCAGTGTAGACTTTACAGGTACCACACAGAGAGAAAGACCAAAGAGTGCACAATCTCAAATTCTTTCCCAGAATACCACCAGAGTGAGAAATCTATTGCATATTGCTGCAGGGAGTTATTTATGTTATCAGTTAATAAATTCAGGGAGGCTTTGTTCACAGCAAGGGGGTGTCAATGCCACCCCTCTTCCACGAGGTACCAAATCTTTCCGGAGACAGAGAAAGCTACTGGGTCAGCATTCCGGAGCAGAAGAGTTGGGGTTCTGAGCTGACTTGTCTATGGCAGGCTTCAAAGGAAAATGAATGCTAGCTGCGTGCTGAGAATCCAGAGTTTGCACTGACCCAGCCATTTGTTCTAGGGAGAACTCATAAAATTACTAAGGGCAGTGATGGTTCCTTGCCAGATTTTTCTCATTTACATTAGCCATCCACTCCAAAGAGAGCAATAAAAAGGGAAATTTAAGACCCAAAATGAAACAGTTCTTGCATAACAATGAGAGAAGAACCTGGCTACTTGTTTTTATTGGAATCAGATAAAACTTTTTGAGAATTCAGATAAAAATTTGAATAGCTGCAACCTAAAACAATAAGTTTTAAGGGAAAGTTCCCCAAACTCCCAAAGTAAGGAGTATTTTTAGAAGGTAAAGTTCAAAAAGACAAACAGCCAACCAGAGTTTAAACGTGACCAAGGTTTGGAAATAACAGCATTATAAAAAGCCACAAATATGTTAATAGGATTTAGAGCGTAAATTCAGTATAATCATTATTCCTTGGTCACTGAGAAGGTAATGATGTTATCTTTTTTGCCCCCCCTTTTATTTATTCAGTTTAACAAGCATAGATAGCACTTTGCTTTTGGCATTTTACATGTAAAGTTCATAGTAAGTTGACAATTATTTCTGTACTTTGGGAGATCAATAGTTTTATTTAGTAGATAAGTATTTGAACCCTTGCATCCTTAATAGGCTCATGGTCATAAGACAATCTCTCAAGTTTCGCTTTCTTTCATGAATTAAAAGAGAGTAATACAACTTACCTATTGGGCTGTCATGAGGATTAAATGGGTTAGGACACATCAAAGCCTTTCTTCAAATATAAAGTTCTACACAACTATAAGGCATTTGTAGATAATCTTTTTTTGACCTCTATGCTGTGGTAAGAGCAACTTTAGAAAGGGGTAACAGAGTTGACTTCTCTCAAAGTATTAAGATTGACACCTTATAAACACCTTAGAAACAGTGGCAGAGTGTTCCTGGGTATCGGCGCAGAAAAGTTCTTGTTTTTGTTTTTTATATTGTGGTAAAATGTGCATAACATAAAACTTACCATTTTAATCTATTTTAAGTGTACGGTTCTCTGCCATTAAGTATATTTGCATTGTCCAACAACCATCACTGCCATCCAGAACTTTATCTTCTCAAACTGAAACTCTATACCTATTAAACACTAACACTCACTCCTCTTCCCCCAGCCTATCAACCACCATTCTATTTCTGTCCACAAATTTGACTACTCTAGATACCTCTTTTAGTGGAATCATACAATATTTGTCCTTTTGTGAGTGGCTTATTTCAAATAACATGATGTCTTCAAGATTCATCTATTCTACAGTATGTGTCAATTTCTTTCCTTTTTAAGGGTACATAATATTCCATTGTACGTATATGCCACATCTTATTTATGCATTCATCCATGGAAGCAACTTGGGTTATTGTGAATAATGCTACTATAAACATGGGTGTACAAACATCTTTTTGAGTCTCTGCTTTCACTTCTTTTGGGTGTTATATCCAGAAGTGGAATTGCTGGATCATATGGTAATACTATGTTTAAATTTTTGAGGACTCACCATATCATTTCATTTCATACAGTGGTGACATCATCTTTCATTCCAATCAGCAAAGCACAAATGTCTAATTTCTCCCCATCCTTGCCAACACTTGTTATTTTATTTTTCATAATAGCCATCCTAATGGGTATGAAGTGGGACAGAACTTTTAGTCTACAATTTGTATAGGAGTCAAGACACTGAAAGTTGATAATAACAATAACAGCCGCGCTAGGAGTAGCAGCAACATTATCGTCTCCATTAATAGAACACTGACATATAGAAGGCCTTCGCGTGAAATATAAGCAAAAGCTGTAGAAGTCACCTATTCTCTAAACAGAAACTGAAATTTGTTCTGCAATAAGTACTTAAACTGTCTTAGATCATGATCATACCAGGCATAACAAACATTAACAGGTTAAACTTGTATGTGTTATGTGACATTCAGCCAGCCCCCACTCCTGGTGCCCCTATGAATGAATGAGTGATGTCCACAATGTCCTGTTCTCAACAGCCCTGCTCAGGTCCTGCAGACTCATGCCTATGGTTTCTTTTATGGTGTCAACCTATCTCATATTTGCCCTTCTTCTTTTCCTGCTGCCTTCTACTTTTCCAGCACTATTGTCTTTCCCAAAGAATCCTGCCTTCTCACGATGTGCCCAAAGTAGGGCAGTTTCAGTTTTGTCGTTTTGCCTCCGGTGATGTTTCAGGCTTAATTTGCTCTAGGACCTACCTGTTCATCTTTCTGATGGTGCAGGATAGCCACAGAGCTCTCCTCCAACACCATATTTCAAGTGAATCTCCCCCCACCCTCCACCACTGCCCCCATTAGTCCTCTTCACTGTTGGGGTTTCGTATCTGTACACGGTAACAGGGAATATGAAAGTGTGGATCATTTTAGCCTTGGTTTCTAAAGACACATCTTTGCTCTTGGTGATCTTTCCTAACTCTTCCATTGCTGTCCTTCTGAGTTTCAGCCTTCTCTTGTTTCCTTGGCTATAGTCTCCATTTGAGTTGATGACTAAACTTGCTTAAAGACAAATATTGCCACATTGGGTGAAGAAAATAACATCTAGATATATGCTGCTTATAATAAAATACATTTTTAAAACAAATCTTAATTATGTTGAGTCAGAGAATGTGATGTGTATGATAATTTAATATTTGTTAAATAGTTTCATACAGTTTTCATAAGTGTTACTACATGTGTGCTTGAATAAAATTTTCTAGATGTTGAACTAACACTTTAATGTTATATTTAATGTTAATATTCTAAATCCATTAGAATAATCTTATTGTGTGGTTCTAAGTCAACTATATTCTTATGATTTTTTTTGTGATTAGTAACTGAGAGAATATTAAAAAATCTCTCCTGATGATGATAAATTTGCCAAGTTCTCCTTTTAGTCCTGAAACTTTTTGCTTTATATTGAAACTATGTTACTAGTTTCCTGCTATTTTCTGATAACTTTTAACAATATGTTTTGAACATTTTCATTTAGAAAAGCCTTTAACCTTAAAGTTTATTTTCTGCTTCTCATTTGTTCTACTTTTCAACATTTCTTCATTCAAAAATTTTTGGCTCCTTTTTGTTT